TTGCCCCTATAAGGCAAATATTTACATCCTTAATTAAAGGGAATAATCAGACAAAGCCGTTAGTGAAATTAGGGCGTGGTAAACTGCTTGGATATTTCAGGTGTCAGGCAAATGACTGGCAATCTCTAAAACAATGACTGGACTGTAAGGAATGTGTCTTACAGGCATAGAAAGTCACTGCATGATGTGCACTTCCAGTACCTATTACTTTCTCACCTCAATACACAGCTCTATAATGAGCAAATCCTACTCCCAGTTAAAGCCATTGCCAACCTTTGTTGTTGTGCTGCATTTGCAGGCCAATGACCAAAAAGGTGGTGCAATGGTACAGACACCACAATCCTCCTGTCATTTTTGTTCCATCCCCAAATTTGGGGGATTATCCCATTTTTGGAAACAGCCAGAGTCACTATACTCACCCGATGTCTTTAAGATGACCTAATTCTGATTCCCTGCTTGGCCAGCTTTCTTTGTCCTGTACCAATGGCCTGGTCAGGCCTATTCTTACATGCCCAGCTTCAGACTGTTGGCGCCAGTTCATGACCCTGTCAACACTCACATGGGCTCTGATAAGGTGAATCTTTTACAAGCGCCTGAAGTTATTATTGAAACAAAGAAAATAGGAGCAGGAGTAGGCCATTCAACCCTTCAAACCTGCACCACTATTCAACATGATCATGGCTGTTTCCCCTTTCTCCCAATACTCTTTGATCCTTTTAGCCCCAAGAATGATATCTAACTCCTTCTTGCAAGCACTCAATGTTTTGGCCTGAACTGCTTTCTGTGGTAGTGAATTCCACAGGCTCTCCACCCTCTGGGTGAAGAGGTTTCTCCCCATCTCAATCCTAAATGGACTACCAGTATCTTTGGTTCTGGACTCCCCAGTTATTAGGAACATCCATCCTGTGTTTACTATGTCTACTCTTGGTAGAGGTTTCTAGGTTTTATGAGAACCCCCTTTTTTTTTTATAACTCTAGTAAATATAGTCCTAACTGATCCAATATCTCTTCATACATCAGTCCTGTCATTCCAGGAATCCATACAGTAAAACCTTTGTTCCATAGCCATAACATCCTTTCTCAGATAAGGAGACCAAAACTGAACACAAAATATTATTGCCAAGCCTTTAAGCTATTACAACCTACAATTTTCTTATTCTTTTCATCCCTATCCTTCTAAATGTACCTTTTTTTCCTACTTATCTTTTATATTTGTGTGGGTGACACAGGTCAAAATATATGGCCAGTGAACCAATATTATGGTTATGCTGATTGAAAAACACACCCAAAAAAAACCTATTTTGATCTTGTATTATATTCTACCCTCAAGGCTCAGACATAATATTTCAGACCTTAGCAGCTTTTCAGTAGTAACAGGTGATTGATTGGGAGTGGCCTTAGTTGCTTTTATGCTATGACCCGACCCCCTCAAACCTGGTCCAGAATGTATTGTGATTGCTGTTTCTGGAACCTCGCTGTAATAGCCACTAAGAGATCGAGAGTATGTTCTCTTCTCCCCGTGTCTCTGTCAATACATGCATTTATTCTTCCACATAAAATAAATCTGGAGCTCATATTTCAACTTCTGTAAAACAGAGAATATATTTTCCCCTCTTTCAGACCCCTTAAAACAGCCTGAATATTTTATTCTTCTTTCCTGGAAATACTTACATTGCTCCTATTAAAAATAAATTCTCTCCCCAAAAATGCCAGGACTGACCATCATGCAGTCGGGATCAGAAATAGTTAGGCTGGGCAAACTTGTATTTGATACGTTACTGATGCACTGTTTCCTCTGAGGAAAGTCACTCAGTGATTTATTTAATTTAAATAATTCAATTATGGAAGTCATGTAACACATTTACAATTTAGGTGTTAAAAGATATCTCAGATTTTATAGTGCACACATTATCTTAACACCTTAAAATATCATTGTCCTATAGTGCATTGTAGAACAGAGATGAAGATTGTTATGTCCAGATCCCATTTGAGGTTCCCCAACTTGCTACAGTTTCAAATGGGATTTCCCAAACTATTCAGCTCCCAGGTGAGAGTGGACAAACAGGCTCCCTTTCTTTATTCACCCACCCACTCAGGTGATCACAGGTAATTTAAAAAGATACTTTTCCCTTTATGATACCTTTCTCCCCTGACCCAAATGATCTTATGTTTTAAAAGGAGCCAATTTAACAAGGCTTTCTTCAGTTATCAAAGAGTGATTTTATTAATTAGTAAATGGGAAAAGAATTCATAATGCAGTGAGGATACACACAGAACAGAAATAAGAGGTGAATCCAAAAAGATAAATGTTAAAAGAAGCAGATATGCAAATCAGTGTCTCAATTGCTTTTGAAGAATGGAGATTTGAAGTTGTGGCAATTGCAGTAGAGATTAACAGTCATGCTTGACAGTTCAAACATTGATTTCATGATTTTCAGATCATTTGAGATACTGTTGTGACTGCCCGTGACTGAATTACAGCGGGTGAGAGAGTCCTTTTTGTGGTCCCATTTCTATCTTTCCCTATGACTTTTGTCTAACCAACTGATTTCTAACACTCAGGGTTGAGACCCGTTGGCAGGAGTGACTGAGGATGGTTCTTTGACTGAGACTTTCACAGCATGCTAACCTAGGCAGGCACAGGCAAGAATAATCAGTTCCACTAGCATGCTTCGATAGAGTTAAAATTGGCTTTTTAAACCCTATCCTTGTGTATTTTTCAAATGGAGAAACGGAGAAACAAAATATGTGTCCAAAGTTTAAAACATAATCCACAGGGAGTGGCTTAAATGTTGAACAGAGGGTCATCAGCCCCTTATTATCTTTTGACTTGTCCCTTCCTTCCTTCCTTCCTTCCTTCCTTCCTTCAAAGAGGTGTTGTTTGAAGTTCCCTTTGGATTCTTAGCTGTAAAATTCTGTAGGTCTCTCTCCGCATCCAGCCACTTAATTTACATCCTTAACCAGTTTTGGCTGCATCAGTTCTCTTTTGTGAGGCACATTTTGGGATTCTGAAATAAAAATGTTCACAGTATTTGGAGCTCTGATCTATGCTCATACCTAAGGTCACACCTTGTCATGATCATGGGTCAGAATTCCAAATACTGTGAACACTTTTCTATCACCACACACACCCAAAATATATACATAGTGTGTATATATACACACATAACGCCTTGTCATGACCATAGGTCAGAACTCCAAAAACTTAGATTTAAAACTCCAACGTGGATCATAACTGGGTATGACAATATTTTCCTAAAATTTTAAAGCTTGTTGTATAGAAAAGTTACATTTTCAGATAATATAGTCAATGTTGTCCAGTCCACTGCTTCAGAAAGTGGCTCAAGTTTTAAAATCTGTTTAATTAATCTCATTTCAGGCCAGAAAATTACTTATTAAAATTAAGTAAGTTATACTAAATTGATTGTACCCACTGGATAAATGTTGGTTGCGAACCTGTGTTGCCTTTGTATATTTCCAGAGATGCTGTCTATATGGATTTTCTAAGGACTATTATAGTTGTAGCGCTAAATGGTAATGCCTGCCAGCTTGAATTTTCCTGTTATAATCCCAGCAATGACAGTTCCAGCCTCTAGTACAACTTCATGTGCAAGAGGGCAGAATGATCTGGTACAGCTTCCGGTGTGCATTTGTGTGAAAGTAATCAACTGAGTTTTCTTCAGTGATACAAAATGGCCTGCTATGGTTGCCAGTTGAGTCAGTGGAACCTCAAATTAATTGCAATACAACTTTATATCATATTTACACACAGAATTGAAAACAGGCACTCAATGTGGGATTCTAAAACAAAGCCACTTTAGTTATCCAGTAGAAGAAAGTAACAGGAACATTGTTGACTTGGATAATACCAGATCAGGTTGAGTTTAGTGTGAATCTGGATCACCCTATTACATTCTCTAGGAAAATGTGAATAGGCTAACATTACTTTATTCTCTCAAAAAGTGAATGCTGAGGGGCAATATACTGTCTTTTTCCTTTTGTAGTGCATGGGTAATTTGATGTCTGGATCAGCCCTCTTTTAAGAAATACATTTTAGAATTACAAGTTAAAAATGTCCATATTACTTTGGGGTTCTGACAACAAGGTGATGTCCTTTAACATTTTCCTGAGTGACTGCATTTTAACTTTAAATAGTAAACATTTCTAGGTAACTACACAATCTCATAAATTTAGAGAAACATTGCTGAATGGTTGATAATAAAAGGTCTTTAAGGGGTTTGATAAGGTACACATAAAGAAAGGTTTTCCACTTGTGGAAGAATTCAAAGTCAGGGCTGATAAACAGAAAACATTCAATTATGAAATCTGGAAAGATGGCTTTACCTAGAGGAAGTGGTTAGAATGTGAAGCTCGCTATCACATGGAGTAGTTGAGTTAAATTACATAGATACATTTAAAGATAAGCTACACAAGGAAGCAATGAACAGTAGGAAATAAACAATAACTGCAGAAAAGTTATACCAGACTCAAAACGTTAACCATGTTTCTCTCTCCACAGATGCTGCCTGCTGAGTTTCTCCAGCATTCTGTGTGTTGGTTTCAGATTTCCAGTATATGCAGTACTTTGCTTTCAAAGGAAAATAGGATATGTCGATAAGGTCAGATCAAGCAGGAAGAGAGGAGGCTTTTGTGGATAATATCAGCTGAAAAGCTTATTTCTATGCTGTAACTGTTAGGCAAAAATTAAATTGGATTCAGTCTTCCCATGCTGTTGATCTGAGACAACATCCACTAACTTCTCCAGATTAAAGAAATATTACACTTTTTATTCCCCATTTAGGAGATTGCCAAATACCTAATCCTGGCTCCATTTAAGACAGAATCTGGTAGAATGCAGTCAAACTATTTTCAACTCCAAACTAAAATAGTTCAAGATATAAGAAAGAATCAGTCCACATGAGAATTGATGCCCAGAAACCAATGTTATGCACATCCTCCTCTGTGTAAATTCTAACCTGTGGCTCTCTTTCTTGCCTCAGCTGTCACCAGGCCTTACTATGACTTTCTGACATTGCGGCAAAAACATCCAATGATGCCTTCAACCATCCCCCAACAGCAGGTCTACATGCTGGCTGAGCCCAAACGCAAACCATCCAATTTTTGGCACAATATCGGAAGACTGACACCATTCAAGAAGTGAAGGGACAGCTCAGTGAACATAACTTAATGCCTTTCCAAGGGAGCACTTTAATGACCAGTTGCAATCAGAATGAACTCCTGCTCTGTGCATGTGTGCACGCTCCAATATAAACTGTGTGTACTATTACATGACAACAATTTCCTCATTGGAAGGAGATGGGATATCCTACATTCAGTAACTTTTCTGCTGAGAGCACATCACCCTGATCTGACCAGCAACAGTGTTAACAGAAGAGTTGCCTACATATACGCTCACATCGATAACTACAGTCAAGCTCAATGTTCTCACTCAATCTAGAAGAAACCAAGCTTGTCCCATTCTGTTGAGTGGAAAGTGTTGAGATTTTTTAAAAGAGAAATGGTATGTCCTATACCACACAGGAAAAGTAGATTTTTCTTTTTTAACTGAACAGTTTGCTGTATCTGTAAGGCTGTGCAAGCATTAGGAAACAGAAAAAAACTCTACAGTAAACAAGTTTCCAGAGACATCTCTCTTGCAGCAGTTTGGCCTTCTGTACTTTCACTGGAATGAAACACTGTGTGCCTATAAGCAAATGATTATTATTGAAAATTGTTGGTGAACTGAAATCACACTGTTCAAAATCTTTTGCCAAACTTTTGGAAGAAAATGCCAAACTAAACTGCACAACGCTCAAATGTTTAGGGTTCCGAACTGGCAAACAGCACTAGTGTTGCTGGGCTACAGCCTGTGTTGGTGCCAGCAATGTAGAAACAGAAAGAGCATCTACAATTGAACCATGGGTCTACAATCGTTCCTTTCATTTCTGATACCCGGGATTTAACCCTAGGCGGATGGACAGGGTGAAGATCTCTTCCGTCTCACATCTGAACAAAACCTGGTTGCACAGTGAAGTGGACACTGCACTCAGTTGGCACTGAAATAATGAGAGCGTGTGGTCCCCTCCTCAAATATTTACAGTATTACCTTGATCACCAGATAAATGATCAGGTTGAATTTAACCAGTGTATAGGAGGAGAGAGTAACACGCCAAGTTGTTATGTGCTAATGTTTATAAATGAATTGTGTAAATATTAACAAAATGATTTATTTATGTATATTGAATTTATTGTACTTGTTCTTGCTGTTTGGCTTCTTCAAATTCTCTCCAGTACAAATGCCTTATTAAGGAATGCACTTACCTGATTGCTTGTTTGTTTTTTTTTTAAATCCCCTGGTGTGGAAGCAATTTTACTTCAGAAAGAATTAACTTCATTTTCCAAGAATAATGTAAAGGGTGTTTGGGAATCATAATGATGTTAGTCATTTGACTGGTGGTAAATTGGGTGATGCTGTTCCACAGTTTACTGTCCTGCATTCAAGTTAGATTTCAAACAATGATTTCCTGCAGAGAAACCTTTCTGATTGAATTATCAAATCAAATTCTGTAAATATGAATGGCAAATGAACACAATGAAATGCATCTGGGTCTCTGAGGGCAGTGGAATCTGTAGTTAACCACAAGACTGTACTGTAATGTTGCCATGTTTTTCAGTGAACAGTACCCATTTGTGTCATAAAACCTGACATATTAAGGCCAGGAGAAGCACAAACTATGAGAAATATTTTGTATTATCCCTTCAATGTCAATATTGTTCAACCGCAAAAATTTGAAAAAAGAAACCGACAACAGCCTATAATCTGTAGCACACTTGCATTTGTGCAGACAAAGTATTGATAGCCATACAGGTCCTCATCAAAAGGGAAGGAAAGTTAAGGGAAATAAATCCTCACCTCTGCATTATAAATGGAAATTAAAATATTCACATCCTGATTAAACTTGTATGCCCAACTGTAGTAGCATCAACCTTATTGCTGAAATGGCTCACAGATGTCCCCATCATCCTGAGTTAGTCCCATTACCAACAATCTGGTCTGCAGTTTTGAACTTGCGAAATCTGGAGCTGAGAGGTCAACTTGCCCACTGCTGGCGTGCAACACATAAAACTTGCTTTCTTTTCATTTGCAATTAAACAACTCTGTGGCCAGTAAGGGCCCTTCTGATGGTAAAATGACATCGCTAGTTCAGCAATGAGAGAGACTCACTGGAGAATAGGATCTCCAATAACTAGTAACATCAGCAATGCTACAAATACAACAAATAAAATGCTAGTGTTGTTTTTCTATGGTTCTCCCTTAAAGGTACTTCAGTGATAAATTCCCCTCCTCAAAATTGGTAGCAAAAATAGTCCCAGGTACGTCTGACCACAGCCCAAACAGTTCCGGAGTCTTGGTTGTAAGTTCCATCAAAAGGCACAGTGTCAACGCAGTGCAATTAGTGAAGTATTTCAGTCAACAGTAAAAGGAGGAAAAGTTTGTTGGGCAGTTATTCTATTCAAACTTCTCAGTCTTTTCTCTTGTGTGTAGGCATAACAAAAATATCTTTGATTTTTTTTAGTTTTAGATCAAATTAAAGGTCAATCCTCAGTGTCTCTGCTTTCCCCCAAATCTACTCCACGAGCTAAGGACCCCAAAAGAAATCACTCTTTAGGGTGATTGCTAGGAGGATGTCTGGAACTACTCAACTCTGCAGCAGCCAGCCATGATTGTTTTATACATCCCCTTAAATCCAACCATTTTGGATTGAGCCATAGGAGCATCCAATGTTCTTCTTTGTGCCATTCAAGCCAATGGTGTCCATCTCTGACACAGGAGATCTGATAGAGAATGCGTAAATTATAAGGCATTTTGTAAGGTAAACAAAGGAAAAATAAATTTCCATTGGTTGGGAGCATCAATGTTGTAAACTTACTATTGCTAAAAAGATTGAAGAAAGAGTTTATGAAAAATGTTTTAACACAGCTGTAGTGTTAGGACATGAGATGCCATACTGGAAACAGCAATGAAAGCAGAAATAAGCGCAATTTTAAAAGGGGTGTGGACAAAGGTTTGAAAAGGAAGCAATGAAAGGGATTTAGGGAAAGTGCAAGGGAAGGGAACTGTGAAGAGCTTTATCAAAGAGCCATAATAGAGACTGTGAGCTTGATGGCCACCAACTGTGCTCTAAAATTCAATGATTCTGTGAGGGATTATACATAACAATGTCATTTAAATAACTGAGGAGGAAGTCAAAATGCAAAAATTAGTCTCCACGTTGAACAGAAAGAAATTTATTTACAAGGTCCACATTCATAAAGGAACTGCACCCTCTGGACTTCGCTTCCTGCTTAAGTTATTCAAATTGAATAGGCTATGATCATTCAGTACTGCTCAAAAACTTATATTTATGGTTCAGCAGCTTTCTGTTTAGTTCACTCAGTTTGATTTCTATTCAACTTTTTTTTGTATCGCATGTTGTCAGTAGATGAGCTTCTCTCCTGCCTATGTCTGTGCTTCTGTTTCTTGACCGTATAGACCAGTCTCTGGCCAAATTACCAAATCAAATTTCAGTGGGTAAATTTTCTGCTTGATGCATTGTCATCAGACAAGATTGGCTGGCTGTTATAGAAACTGTCCGATTTTAATTCTCAGTGATTTATATGAAAAAGATCAGGCAGCTAATACACAATGATAGTTTTACACCCAGCTGGCAGATTGAAAGGATTTTTATAAACAGTAAAGGAAGTCCAAATTCTGGAAATCACAGATTTTTTCAGATGTGCAAAGTAAATATGTAAACACAGCTAAGTGTAATAAATGTCCTCTGAAGGGTCCAGACCCGAAACGTCAGCTTTCCTGCTCCTCTGATGCTGCCTGGCCTGCTGTGTTCATCCTGCCCTACACCTTGTTATCTGCTGTTATTCATGCTTGTTGTCATCAATTACACATGAAGAAAGTTTCCTTCCTCCTCGTGAAGGAGTATCACTCACTGAAAGCCTTTAAAAAAATTTACCATTCCAAATTTTAGGAAAAGCCCTTTATCTCTGTGCTTCATTGAAGGATACAGCAGCATAGTGGGTTGTGAATAAGTTAAAGCAGTTTCTTTAGAATGTGAGTTACTTAAAATCTTTGGCTGTTGATGTCATGTTTAGCCATTACACACTAAACTTTGTCCTGTTGGGAAGAATAGGAATGCTGTAGTTGTTAGCAAAACAAAATACATTTAGACAATTTTTTTGAAGCATGACATTTATTTGCCTCATGACTATGTTTTTGAATAGAAAATGTTTCTATAGATTACATTGGAAAATTCATTATATCATTTCAAATACATCATTTTAAACTAATATTACCAAAGTTTTGCATTCAACAACAATGATTCTTGGAAAAGAAAATTGATTTAATATTGTTTGGAAATAATGGGATTCCTGTATAGTCTCAATACAGGTAGTGCACAATATAAATAAAGTATTATTGTATTTTTAAAATGCTGCAACAGTAGGGTAAAAACCATTTTTAGTGAGATTAATTCCATGAAAAGCCAACACACTAATCTTGATTAGCAAACCTCACCTCAACATTTTGAAGGCAACATCCTTTGTGCTTTGAAGTCCAAATTTACAGGACACTCCACATGACAGGTAATATTAAACATCCAGCATCGTAACAATACTGACCAGGAAACTGGACCTCAACATGTGGAAACATTTCATCTCAATTGATCATCATTCCTCCCACACAAAGAAACAATTCTTTTAAAAATGTACTTTCTGAATGACTAAATTTTCACTGCCATGAGTTTTGGTTCTACTGTGTAGTGCACCAAAACTCTTATTGCTATGTTAATTTCGCATTTCTGTTCTTGTGCCAGGTTACAAGCATTTTTTTTTTAAGCCTGCAATCATCTACAACAGTACATAAATTTATTTTCCACCATTCTGTAGAAATCATTGTGGGTCAAATCTTAGCTTTGTTCAAGATGTATAAAATAGACGACAGCAAGTCAGCATCCCAATTTACATCTCTGCTAATACTTTATTGAATCAAGAGGAAAGTGAAATGACTACCAGCCATTCTACACTCTTGCACAAAGTCAGAATTTACCCCATTCTGTTTGTCCAGCCACACTTTGAGGGTTTCGTCCTCCTCTGTTACCCAAATGTAAATCAGGTTTTCAGATTGTAAGGCAACAATATATTTTGGAACTCACTGGCAACAGTGGAATCTCAGAGCTGACGATTGTAAGCGAGGCTGTGGAATTCCCTAAACAAGGCTTTTGATGCTTCAAGTAATTATTCTGGCAAATAGGTCCTGAGCTCCTCAGCATTCCCACTCCTTTACTGGTGTTGTCTCAAGTATTGTTGGTCAAAGACTTTCATTAAAGTGAAATGTATCTTACTGCCTTGTTATCTTTTTGTGGTGAAAGAGCCTCCATTCATTTTTTAGCAGTGAAATCTTATCTAGTTTGGTTTCCTGAATTTAAACACCAGATTACATCAGCGAACTTGGTTCAATACAAAATAAGGCTGTGCTTAAACCAATTTTCTGTCACTGTTCAAAAGGTAAAGCACTTTAAGTTGAACTGACGTACAGTGATCTAGTTCTGATCAATGAATTACAGTTAATTTGCCTTCAGTCTGTACACTTGCATATAACATGAGCCCACTGTTGGCATGAGACCGCTTTCTCTGTACAGCCTGTGGCACCTCAGGTCTTACGAGGGACGTGCCACATCATGGCAACAATCAAGTTGCACTGTGCTGTTTTATATGTGGTATCTGTTAATACTTTTGGTGAAACAATGGAAAAATCAAAAGTGCCATTTTCCAAAAGGCTCTTGAAAAGCAGTTGGAGCAGGTGATGACCTTTGAAGTCAGAAGATGCCAGTTTCTGTTCGTACACATTGGGTAACCTCTTATTCTTTTGTCTGTGGCTGTGGGATAACTTGTCAGAGTTATAAAGTTTTAACAGTATTTTTGAAATCTATGGTGTAGCTTTCAAATTACTAGAGTACTAATGTGTTCAGTTCATACTGTGCCACCAAAATTGCTTGTAATGTTTTGTATATACAATTCTCAATGATTTGTCAACCAGTTTCATAGCTCTTATGTTCCAGGAGGAATTGATTTTAGGGATTTTTTTTCTTTCACTTGTGTGCTAGATACTTGTGATAAGCAAGTAGAATTTGCTGAAAAAATACATGACAGTGTTTGTATAAATTCTATCTTTGTACATGGATGTTTGTTTACATAAGCACTTCAAGCAAGATATGGGGAATAAATGTTTTCATTGTGTCAAAGCACTACTTAGTGCCTGAATCAATACATTATATTGCATGTGTCCAAATGTCTGCTTGTTCCAAAGTTGTCTCAAAACTGCCCTTGCAATTTTCATCAAAGTGCTTACCTTCACCATAACTTCTGAAAACCATGGGTGATTCTTTGTTTGCAAATAGGGACTACTGGTGTAAAATCTGACTTGACAGCGTCAAGTAACTAAACATCTGGACAGTCAGGGATAGTTGGCAACTATCTACCGAAGAAACTATCTACCATCAACTTGCAAGTTGTGTATGACCTTATCCAAAACATGTTGCAGGTGTGTACATGCATTCCAGGGAGCAATCATTATTCGTATGTACTTAGCAATCTCAGGCTCGGGGGATCTTCACTGGCCTGGAACATGTGAATGACTGGCTTAGAACATAGAACAGTACAGCACAGGAATGGGCTGTTCAACCCATAATGTTGTGCCGAACATAATCCTTACTGCCAGCACTTAGTCCTTTTCCCTCCATTCTTTGCACATTCATGTCTATCTAAATGCCCCTTAAAGGCCCCTATCGTATCCGCCTCCACCATCACCCCTGACTGGCTTCTGGATGATAAATCTACCCTCTCAAGAGGTGACCCCAGTGAAAAATCCATGCAGACAGCCTGAAAGGAGGTATAATAATACCCCAGACTCTTCAAATACAACTTGATGTGTCATGGTCTGCTGTGCCATGCACATCCTGGCCATTCAGCAAGAGGAAGTTTGCGCCTGGAGAAGCACCAAGGCTGAACTAAGTGGAATTCAGCCCATTCAAGTTAAAGTCAGAATCTCAGTCATAGAGTCCTTCAAAATGATCTCTCTAGTGAGCACTGACTTTGATGGGACTAAGACATAGGAGCAGAAGTAGATCATTCAGCCCAATGAATGTGATCTATCATTCAATGGGATAATGGCTGATCTGATAATTCTCAACTCCACTTTCTTGCCTTTCTCTATAGCCCTCGATTCTCTTACCGATTAAAAATGTGGCTATCTCAGCCTTGAACATACTTAATGACTCACCTCCTACAGCCTCTGCGGTAAAGAATTCCACAGATTCACTACTCTCCAAGAGAAGAAAGTCCTCCTCATCTCTGTCCCATGTGGGTGACCGCTTACTCAGATTTTTCTGGTCCTAGACTCTTCCATAACGGAAAACAACCTCTCCACAACTACCTATCAAATTCCTTTAGAACCTTGTATGTTTTAATTAGGTTGCATGTCATTCTTCTAAACTCCAATGAGTTCAGACCCAAATCATTCAACAACTCCTCTAATAGCATCCCTCCATACCTAGAATATACAACCTGAACCCTCTCTGGACTGCTTCCAATGCCAGTATATTTTTCCTGAGATGAGGTGATCGAAACTGTTCACAGTACTCTGGCTGTGGTCTAGCCTTATGTAATTATAAGCATACTTTCCAATGTTAATACATTATTCCCTTTGAAATAAAGGCTGGCAGTCCATTTGCCTTCTCTGTTAAATGCTAGCTTTTCATGCTGTCATCCATACAACTCTCACTAGGTTGGACCCTTTCATGCTTGGGTGATGGATTGTCATAAGTGTTGCTAAAAATGCATATTTTTATGTCCATGGCTTATCGGATCTCCTGTGCCCTTTTATCCACCATTTGTTCTTTATTTCACGCATTGACTTTATCAAAGGCCTTTTGAAAATCCAAATACATTATGTACATGATGTAAATCTTTTATATCATTTCTGATCTTAAGTTAAATTATCTACAATTTCCTGGAGTAAATCTGGTTCAAATATAACAATAATAGGATTTGTCTCTGGTCATCTCATGCTATAACCACTTTTTATACCATTTAGTTCCTCTGTTAGCTCATAATTTGCTTACCTTAAGAAACACAAATGAAACCTTTCTGAGCCAGCTGTTTTATTCTTAGAATAGTTTAACAATTTTCCATTCATCATTATGTTTTATCTTTTTGCCTTATGTCATATGCACCATATTACCCTCCTTGGTTTAAAATTTGGGTTTGGGTGGCAGATTACCAAGGAAAATATCAAAGTCAACAAATACTGGTTTAAAGCAGTAAATGATTTATTAGTTAAACTGTTTTACTGCTTTTACCTGCATTTAGTTAGTAGGATTGAGTTCTGATGCTGGACAGTCTTTGGCTCCTTTCATTATTTAATGGATCTGACAGGAAGATAATGGGGATGATTTGGCAGGAGCAAATTACTGCAGATGCTGGAATCTAATGTTTTAATGGACGATGTCACCGAGAAGGGAGATGAAACGTTTGCACGAAAACCAGTCAGCTTGGCGAAACAACCAACAATTACAACTGCAACCCAAGCTATAGATCTTCATCTCTATATTAGAAACATCAGAACTGACTACAACAGGTAGCAAGAACTGCAGATGCTAGAGTCAGAGACAACACAGCGTGGAGTTGGAGGCACACGGCAGGTCAGGCAGCATCAGAGGAGCAGGAAAATTGATGTTTTGGGTCAGGACCCTTCTTCAGAAATGGGGAGGGGGAAGGGAGCTCAGAAATAAATAAAGTGGGGCTGGAGAAGGTAGGTGGGATGGTGATAGGTGAGTGCAGGTAGGGAGTGGTGGGGATTGGTCAGGCGGATAGGTGGGAGAGAAAATGGACAGGTTGTGCCAGATCAAGGAGGCGGGGATGAGTGGGAGGCTTGGACATGGGATGAGGCCAGGGGTTGGGGAGATTCTGAAACTGGTAAAATCCACATTTAGGTCATTGGGCTGTAGGCTCTCGAGATGGAATATGAGATGCTGCTCCTCCAGTTTGCGGGTGGTATCATTGTGACACTGGAGGAGGCCCAGGAAGGACATGTCAGGGAGTGGGAGGGGGGGTTAAAATGGCTGGCGACCAGAGCACAGGTGCTTCACAAAATGGTCTCTCAGTTTACGCTTGGTATCACTGATGTAGGAGAGGCTACATCGGGAGCAGCGGATGCAGTAGACCTATAGCATGTGCCTCCAGCTCCACGCTGTGTTGTCTCTAATTCTGGCATCCGCAGTTCTTGCTACCTGTTGTAGTCAGTTCTGATGTTTCTAATATAAAGATGAAGATCTGTAGCTTGGGTTGCAGTTGGAATTGTTGGTTGTTTCGCCAAGCTGACTGGATGTACAAGTGAACCCCTGTCTGATGTGGAAGGTTTGTTTTGTGCCTTGAATGGAGGTGGGGTGGGGGGTGGGGTGTGCGGTTGGGGGAGGTGTAGGGGTATGTGTAGCACTTCCTGCGGTTGCAGGGAAAGGTGCTGGCGGTGGTGGGGTCAATGGGGAGTGTGGATCCAACAAGGGGGTCGTGGAGAGAGCAGTCCCTAAAAAAGGCAGATGGGGTGGGGAGGGAAATACATCTTTGGTTGTGGGATCGGATTGTAGGTGGCAGAATTGGCAGACAATATGGATGTGGAGATTAGTGGGGTGATATGTGAGGACAAGGGGGTTTCTGTCTTTATTTTAGTTGGCAGGGGGGGAAGGATGTGAAGGCTGAAGTGTAGGAAATGCAAGAGATGCGGTTGAGGGTATTTTCGATCACTGAGGTGGGGGTGAAGTTATGGTCCTTGAAATAGGAGGATATCTGGGATGTGCGGGAGTGGAATGCTCCATCTTGGGAGCAGACGTGGCGAAGGTGGAGGAATTGGGAGTAGGGGATCACATTCTTGCAGGAAGGTGGGTGAGAGGAGGTGCAGTCGAGGTAGCTGTGGGAGTCGGTGGGCTTGAAATAGATGTCAGTTTTGAGGCAGTCACCAGAGATGGAGCCAGAAAGGTCCAAGAAGGAGAGGGAGGTACCGGAGATGGTCCAGGTGAATTTGAGGTTGGAGTGAAAGGTGTTAGTAAAGTTGGTGAACTGTTCAAGCTCCTCGTGGGAGCACGAGGCAGCGCCGATACAGTCATCAATGTAACAGAAGAAGAGGTGGGGGATAATGCCAGTGCAGCAGTGGAAGAGGGACTGTCCCACGTATCCTACGAAGAGGCCGGCAAAGCTTGGGCCCATGAGGGTGCCCATGGCCACCCCCTTAGTCTGTAGGAAGTGGGAGGAGTTAAAGGAGAAGTTGTTAAGTATAAGGATGAGTTCGGTTAGGCGGATAAGAGTGTTGGTGGAGGGGGACCGGTTGGGCTTGTGGGAGAGGAAGAGGAAGAGGCAGAGGCAGTGGGCTTTTAGGCCATCTGTGTGGGGGATACAAGTATACAGGGACTGGATGTCAATAGTGAAGATGAGGTGTTGGGGGCCAGGGTACTGGAAGTCTTGGAGGAGGTGGAGGGTGTGGATGGTATCCCGGATGTAGGTGGGGAGTTCCTGAACTGGAGGAAGAAAACCGAGTCAAGGTAAGTGGTGATAAGTTCAGTGGGGCAGGAGCAGGCAGAGACAGTGGATTGGCCGGGGCAGTCAGGTTTGTGGATTTTGGGAAGGCGATAGAAACGGGTGGTGTGGGGTTGGGGAACGATAAGGTTGGAAGCTGTGGTTGGGAGGTCACCTGAGGTGATGAGGTTATGAATGGTTTGAGAGATGATGGTTTGGTGGTCAGGGGTGGGGTCATGATCGAGGGGACGGTAGGAGGAGGTGTCAGAGAGTTGACCAAGCAAAGACTCAGAAACCGTTTTGTAGAGCATCTGCACTCTGTACATGATAAACAACAACACCTTCCGGTTGCCAACCGTTTTAACTCCCCCTCCCACTCCCTGGGGAACATGTCCATTCTGGGCCTCCTCCAGTGCCACACCACAGGCAAAGTGAAGGAGCAGCACCTCATATTCCGCCCAGTGGCGTAAACATGGAATTCACCAGTTTCAAAATCTCTCCGCCCCCCGGCCTCATCCCATGCCCAAGCCTCCCGCTCATCCCCGCCTCCTTGACCTGACACATACTGTCCATCTTCTCTCCCACCTATCCATCCCACCCATCCCACTGACCATTCCCTACCTGCATTCACCTATCACCATCCCACCTGCTCTCCTCTGCCCTACCCCTCCTCTCTCTATTT